AAATCGGTTGATCCGTGCGCCCGAAAACGTGGACAAAAATTGTTTCCATGCATACATACATACACACATACACACACACATCCATTTTATCTGATTGTGAGGTATGCCAAAAGGTTCAGAAACCTTCAAAAACAAAACGCGAAGAAATGTAAAAAAATTCAATTTCGATTTTTGGACGGTTATAATAGCTTACCCTACGGAAATTTAATATAATGTAAAATTGCATTTCCAAGATTTTTAACCCATTTATTCATCAAGTCAGTCATATGTGTCAGACGCTCAGAAGTTGTACATGAGCCATGTCAGATACATTTGTCTGACAAACGCGATTTGGTAGAAAGAGAAAAAAAGTTCAAATATAGTGCTATATCAGTCATATGTGACAATAGATTTTTTTTAGAAAAAAAAATTTTTGATACATTAAGATTCCTAGAATCAGTTTTAACTAAATCAACTAATAAGGTTATCATCGCCCATATAAAAATGTTTCTGATATCGTGGTGATTAACGTGAAACATTGAATATAATTTGCTATTATTGAAAGTATCAATCAACTTATTCAATAATAACGGATGGATTCGTAAACTAATTTTGTTATCTGTTAGCATAACGTATTTATCGATTCCTTGTCGAATGTACCAAACAAGCAGATCTTCTCATCTAATAATTCTCGTTTCGCACCCCATAGGAATGCCAAAGAAAGAGCTCTGAAGTGTTTGTATAAACTATTGGCAAAATAGATGTTCTCTTTCCGAGATGTGAACTGACTATAAACCCAGACGAATTCTGCAAAGTCAAGTGATGCCACCCCCGTTCAATTTATAATGTATCTCGAAATGAACCAATGTATCAGAGGCAGAATAGAAGATATATGTATTGTTAGGCCCATCGAGATAATATAATAAATAAAGTAATCGACAAACTAGATTAATCTATCAGATAAAGCGACTTACAAGTCGAGTCCTTCAGATAAAGGACTTATCGTTATCACCATCTGCAATTCTCTGATTCGAAACGCGTTTTTTTCGATTGGAGGGATAATTTAACTGTGGTATGAAGAGACAAAGCGAGGACTCGAGGAGGAAATGAGTTTGATGATAATATCTCGAGTAATGTCAGGAAATCATAATTGCTGTTTGTATTAGTAGGTAATTTAATAACAAATTATATATATTTTATTCGTCAAACGTTATTTGTTCGCCGAAATTAGTGTTCTCTTCATATAATTAATACTGTGATGAATAAAACATGACTGTTAGTAAGTAATCAACACATCAATTGCCATGTCAGTCATATATGTCTGACGCTAATATGTTCTATAAGAGCCATGTTAGAAACCTTTGCCTGACATATGCGATTTGATAGAAGACCACTTGTCGAGAAAAAAAGTATTATTATAGGGCTTTGTCAGTCACGTGTGTGACACAAAAATAGAGTTATTTAACTGAATTTTGGCAAAAAAAGGTTTTTGATACATTAAGTTTCCTTCATGCTTTTGAACTAAATTATTTAATAAAGTTATCATGGCCCATGGAATTTTTTTATAATATAACAAAAAATACTATGTTAAATTATCAAATCTATTGAAGGAGAACAAACCTTTCTATCGTGTGTTCAAGTTCAAAAATCTTTAAATGAACTAATTTTTTTGAAAAGTTATTATATTGTAAATAAATGGATGCTGTTTGATTAAATTTTGATTAGTACTATTCAATAAAAATAATATGTATTTGAATGAAATATATACTATATATATCATACTATGTTTTTTTCTTGTTTTATATTTTAAACAGCAATCAGAACAGTTTTTGAGCTGTTGTGATAGTCTTTTTTTAAAAAAAACACCTCATTGGTTTTCCTACATCTATTTGATACTTTTATTATTAAGATTTTTTCAATACCAATAATATTTAATTCGATTCAGCAATGCCGATGAAGTGCTATTTCACCTATCAAAATACAAAAGTTAGGCTTTTACACAGAGCCTCGAAAAGCCTATGTGTAATATAATAACAATAAAAAATAAATGAGTTCTATATTTATTAATAATTAATTTATTTATTATGCGACATTGAAGGAATGGATGAAGGATGAATAAACTAAAGGTTTATTGTTTTTATTTATTTCATTAATGCTATAAGTTGTTTTTTAATTCCTTAACCTAGTGTTATTAAAAGAAAACGAAATGGTTTAGTTTTCAGCTATTTCTAATAGTGATGTAATGTACAGGGTGTTCCAAAACTCAACGTCAAGTCGAAACGGAGTGATAGTATTGACTGCAACTATCATAAAAAAATTAATTTCGACCTAGGGGCCCTAAGCTAGTGTTTTGCTGAGGCAGGGTCTATTTTTCGGTTATTTTGGTTGATTTTTATTATTTTATTATTTTAAACTTTAGATTCGTAATTATCTATATCTTATATGTATACATCTAAAACCACAGGTAAAAATTATGATACAATGTGCCAAGTTTTATAGGAACTAGAAAATTAAGAATTTTATGTATTCAGATCATATATAATTTGAGCCTTTTTATTGCAAGTCCAGAGCTTTTACCCCTAAGCCACTGCCTGGCTTTACCTTCAAACTTCAGAGATTGAATATTACCTGAGTTTTTGCATGAGTTCACTTTACAGTTGTGTAAAAATTCATCGAATTTACTGCCAAGAACATATATAATTTATGACATCAAAATATATATTTAGACCACAAAAACGTAACCCCAAGCGTAACCTTAAGTCATGTTGTCTCAAAATATTCAAAGCAAATATTTTTCATCTGTTATAATATTTACCAGACACAAACTGTTATCGCATTTTCATACTCATAAATCAGACCCAAAAAGTATTGTTTGAAATATGAAAAAAGGACATACCTGCCTACAAACCGAATTATTAGTACCGGCTAGCTCGTGCCCAGTAGTCTTGTTAACAATTTTCTAAACAATAAATTTTGTATTAAGGTCCGCGTGTCTCATGTGTGGAGTCCGTCATATTTTGCATATGTGATACCTGGACATCACGCACGACTTCTCAAATATTAATTCAGGAATATGCGTAGTAGAATAATATATGGTCAATATAATAAGACCTCGGAATATGTAGATTATATAATGAAAATGTATGAGGGTCTAAAAGGGAATATGCATTATTAAAGTGAGATGATTTGGATTTGAGCGAATTTTCTAAAAATAGAACGCTTTAACTCGCATATGACAAATGCAAAGTATAAAAATTATTTTAAAATATGCATTTAAACACATATACGTTTTAATATGATTTGTTAAAGTAATTTCAAATACTAAAGCAAACTAGTTGGTGTTGGTATTTAGCCTTGAGGCAAGTTACATGAACTTTCCAATATATGTAAATAATCGACTTAATCAATAAAATATAAATTAATTTATGAGTGATTAAAAGTATTCCGAGTAGATTTGTTACACATAATTGAAAACGAACAAACACGTTAACTCGAGTACTTTTGAAAGCAAATTTTCAAAAACCAATCATTTTTGTTATTGAACCAGTTTCCGTAAAACTTTAATGGTTTAGTATTTTATTTAAGGCCAAGTACTCTATTGCTATAATGAGTAAATCGTCTAATTTTAATTTTAACAAACGTCAAAAAAAACTACTCATTTTCTCAAACTTTGATGAATTTTGACTTGTCGTAAGGCCGTAATATTTCAGTAAGTTCTATAAGACCATGATTTACATCGCCAAAAAAAGTTCCATAAAAATCGGCTTAATTTTTTTTCAACAGTTAATTACAAGAAAACGGCTTGGTAGATTTTTACCTAAAATTATCAGTATCATTCCCAACTAATATCTTTCGAACAGTTTTTGATTTTGAAATCGATTCGGTAGTATCAGCTTAAATGTGAACTAAAAGTTTAACACTTTTTTTAAATTACAAAGAAACGGTTTGGCAGATCGTCTCACAAAACTGACAACCGATAGTCCTCATTGAAATACATCAAATAGTTTTTAAATTTCTAAAATTCAGAAACGCTAGTCCTCATCGAGATACATCGAATGGCTTTTAAATGTTTGAAATCGGTCCAGCCATTTTTGAGAAAACGTTGATTTACGGCAAAAAATCTGTTCACATACACACACACACACTTACTTTTTCCAAATTTGGTCCCATTCGATTCAGAATGGCTTGAAACGTCGAGAAAACAAAATTAGCGAATCGGATTTTTTGATAAGAAGTTAATTACACTGCATTATTATTAGAGCTGTGTTAAACAACAACATGATTCAGGCAAGAGTAGTGTAAGCGATTTACCATTGCCCTTTTACAGCGCAGTGACTGAAATGGACTATTTTTCAATTGAAAACATTTTTGATATACATGTTTCAAACAGGAGTCCCTGCGTTTGATCATTACAATACTCATATATATATATATATATATATATATATATATATATATACATACATATAGGTGTGTGTATATATGTGTGTGTGTGTACATTGAAATATACTTTTAATCATACATATCCTTATGAAAATTTTCAACCGTGTCCAGTTGATTTATGTCGTCCGAAAGGGTCAGTCTTCCGCGAGTCGTCATCATATTCAAATATTCATAAAAGGACCACGTCGCGCCCATACGATGTACCCAACAATGAGGCG